AAAAAAAAAAACCTCAGTTCACAACATTTGATATCAAAAGCGTTCCTTGGGTCATTACAAAAACTCTAGCATTGCCTAGGGGTGGGCAAAAAAATCGGATTTCCCGATCTCGAACCGGACCGAAATGGTCCCGTTTCGAAAAAAAAGGGTTCCAATCGGTTTTTAAAATTTTCGTACCGTTCCTGGTACCGGATCGGTTGAAACAATATCGATATCGGTTTTTATAAATTTTTTCCCGAACCGTCCCGTTTATCCCGTTTTATTTTTTTTACAAAAATATTATATATATATATATTATACATTATTTATATTTATGTTAGTATTAAGTATTAACAGGCTTCTGTTTTAAACTATTAAACTCAACAGGCTTCTAACTTCTTTGTATTTAATAATTAAAGCCTTAGGAACTAAGGAAGCAAACAACACTTAAACTTTATGTACCCTTTGAAACAGAGTAACAGTGAGACTATCATTATTCAGTAGCTTTGTTTTTACTTTTGAATGAAGTTAGTTGCAGGATTGCACCTTAATTAGTTTGAATGGAAACAAACAATGAAATCAGAGTTTTTTTTTTTTTCTTTTTTTTTTTTTATTTTAAAGTGGAACAATGAATAATTTGAAGTTTGAACATCTTTTTTTCCCGTTTTGTCCCGGAGTCCCGAACTGTTTTGTTCTGGTCCCCATTGTTACCGATCCGTTTAGGACGGGGTCTCGTCCCGGACCGGTTCAAAAAACCGGGACAGGTACTAGGATAGGTCAAATCCGGACCGTCCCGGACCGCGCCCACCTCTAGCATTGCCAATCGTCCTTTACCCATCAAGAACGAAGGAGTCGATTGAAATTATCAAGACGCGCTTAGAGAAACATAAGCTGGTGCAAAAAACCACAGCCTACTGATCATTTGATCGTCATCATCAACTCTAACCACCTACAATCGAGCCGCCTATCACTTGTCACTATATCTCTTTCTCATATGATCCCTTCTCTCTCCTTCTCTCTCTCTCTCTCTCTCTATATATATATATAAACAAGAAGAAAAAAAGAAGCATATATTCAGTAAAAAAAAACCTCAGTTCACGACATTTGATATCAAAAGCGTTCCTTGAGTCATTACAAAAACTCTAGCATTGCCAATCGTCCTTTACCCATCATGAACAAAGGAGTCGATTGAAACAAGAACGAAGGAGTCGATTGAAATTATCAAGACGCGCTTAGAGAAACATAAGCTGGTGCAGAAAACCAAGCCTACTGATCATTTGATCGTCATCATCAACTCTAACCACCTACAATCGAGCCGCCTATCACTTGTCAAACACATTAAATGCAAATCCCACATTTTCTAAACAACCTCCAGCTCGACCAATCAAAGTCAAACATCCCTATCCCAGGCTTGGTGGCCCTGCCCGAGCGGGCTGGCCGAGACGAGGCTGGTCGCAAGGCTTACATTCCTGTCAGCCATCGTCCTCCTATCCATAACATGGCCCCACTCATCACACTGCAACAACCCATTCCCTCTGTTCTGCCTGGAAGCAGCAGTAGGTGAATAATATTGCACGGGCAAAGGCTCCACCTGGTACCTCACCCCCTCTGCCCGCCCCACCGACCTCACCGAGATCAGCCTATCGGGAGTCGGGCTCTTGGGCCTCGCCAGCCCGTAGTAAAAGCTTGGGCTGGGTTGAGGCGAAAAATGATGACAATGCGGGCCCCCACTGCTGTTCGGCTGTGGGCCATTGCTGAGGCTGCATATGCTGGGCGAGCTCCTGACCCTGTGCATGCCGCCGGTCGCGGCCCGGCCAGTGTTCAAATAGTAGCTGCTTGGGATGTGGGCCACAGGTTCCTGATTTAAGGTCTCGGAGGTACAGCTGTCGGGTGAGCGGGGGGAGGAACAGGCGGACGAGACCCTCGAGCCATGCTGCACTGCATGAATGCGGCCTGTTCGGATGACACCATTGATGGCGTCGATGTAGCGCTGGTGGTCGGGGGCCTGGGAGTTGCGGTCAGGGTCAGGGGAAGGGTTGAGAGGGAAGAGGAAGGCACGGAGTTTGGGGAGGGAAGAGCGGTTGTGGCGGTCAATATCGTCGAGCATGTGGCGGAGATCCTCGTCGGACCCGACAGAGACGAGGGCATCGAGGTCCTCGGAACCCACCTGGTACTTGAGCCTCATCTCCCCATCAATTTGGTAGGTGAGTTTTTTCATGAGTTCTGCACAAGCCAAGTGATCAAAGGAAAGAGTACACATTGTTGCCACAAATTCATAAAATCGAAACCTAAAACAAATTGTATTTCTAACCTAAAACATTCAAGCACGCTACAGATGAACAGTTTCTCAAAATCGAACCCCAATTTCTATAAACATGCAAACGAGGATAGAAAATTAGTGACAGTTGCTAGTGAAAAAAAGAGGTAGAAGAACAATTAGACCAACGTACCCTGGAAAGAAATGTCCGTAGGAACAGAGATGACACGGGTTTCGCCGCCGACGTATTTGAGGTGGGCGTCGGAGGGGCGGGGGAGGATTCTGCCGCCGTGACTGCAGAGGAACTTGAGGCGGCTTTTGGGCGAACCGGGGGCCGAGGTAGGCGCCGAACCGGAGGACATCGCAACAGAATCTGTTGACATGACGATCGGATATCAGATTGTAATCTCCGATTTCTTTTCCATGGAAGAAAAAAGGGAAGGAGAAAATGCGATGAAAAACAACGGAAGAGAGAAGTTTTAGAGAGAGAGAAAAAGTGAGAGGAAAAACAGAAAAGAAAAATGAAACCCTTTTTTCAGGAGCGGCAAAAGTAGTATGTATAGAAGCATGATATATGTGGTTATTGTTTTTTTTTTAATATATATTAGTATAACGCCGTGTATTATACGAGTGTTTGCTAATTTTTTTCTTACAATCTAAAATTAATAAGAAAAAATAGTTGAAAATTTAAATATGTTTTATTAAAATATATATTATTATATATTTAGTATGACACTTTTTATTTGTGTGACTTACTTGTGTTATATTATAATAATGTTTTTAACTTACAACATATAACTACATTAAACATAAATATATCAACAGAGAAATAATTTTGTTTTCCTAATAAATTTTAATAAATATTATTATTTATTATTATTATAAAGATAAATATAATTTATTTATTTTATATATACAATATGGATGTCAAATCGAAGATCATGAAAAGATGATTAATTTGATATATTATATATGTAAAACCGATAAGAAATACAAAAATTATCAACTTTTAAAACACATTTACAATTCAATAATGAAGCAAATCAAAAGTAATGGATATATTAGTCACTTAGCCCATGTTTGTTTTCTAGGATGGGATTGGACAAAATTAATTCAAAGTTGTGGGATTGTACTGTTTGGATTATTTTTATCTTATGTTTGTTACCTAGGATTGGTGTAGAATAACTTATTTGTTTTAAAAAAAAGGAAAAAATGAATTCATCAACACAAACCCTTCTCAATATTTGGAAATACAATTTTGCCCCTTTAATCAGATTCGTAACCCCCCCATTTCAGACACGCACATTTCACACACATTTTTGATTTTCCTCAAGCACAAACCCTAGCCCCCTCTTGTGGTCGTCTTCCTCAATTAGCAGGCGGTTCAGAGGCACCGATGAGGACTTTCACTAACACGCTCAATCCAGTACTCCGGGGAGAAGTCAATTTTAAGAGAGGAAAGTAAAAATTAAAAAAAAAAAAAACAAAAAACAAAAAGTCGGGCATCGCACAAAAATTAAAAACACAAAGAACCGGAAAATCGAGTATTACATTAGAGCTCGAGTGGTGGGTGCTTATCCGAGACCAGGTATTTCATTGGCCTCGAAATGGAAATACACATTTATCGTCGTGGCAATCGGACCTGCTTGCCAATTCCTCAGTTCGGAGAACATTGTTCGTCTTCTTCAATTACGTCGGGCCGAATTTACACCTAGTTTGAAGAAGAGGGCAGAAACTGTGCTTTGGGCCTAGGGTTCTTGCATATACACGACTTCAGATTGGAAATCTGCCCAATTTACCTTTTTATAATGGTAAGTGTAATTAGTGGCTTTACGAAGGGCAAAATTGACCGAAAATAAAAAAAACTGAGGGCATATCAGTATTTTTAATGTGCAGGATTATTTGAATCCCACCAAATACCTGGGATGGAGTTATCCCAATTTCATGGGATAAAATGCTTTTTCATCCCGGACTGACCGCATAATACCGGGCCTGAATCCTTGATAACAAACGTGGGACTATGTGGGATAAGCCAGGATATCATGGCCTATCCCACCAAACAAACATGCACTTAGTGTCTCACTATGTAAAATTACAAAGATTAAAGGGTTATATTAGTACAAGTGATATTAAAATACTAAGTTAGGTAAATAATATTTATGGAATGTCGGAACCTAGACTATTAATTATTAATATATCAATATTGTTTGTCCAAACCTAGTTACGAAGCATGATTTTTCGCCAAGTAGAATTCCGAAGCACCAGAAGCAGCCACGTAGACTCGGCGCATTCGAAAATTATATATAAGGGATGCTAGCGGGATTTTTAAAGAATAAAATAAGATATGAGAAATAGTACTGTTGTGAAATTTTTGTTTTATTTCAATTTCGATGAGATAAATTTGGTTAAACAGCAAAAAAAATTCCCATATCCAACAGCAACACAATTTTGAAAATTTTGTTTCTGGACATAAAATGATGAAAAAAAATATTAGTATCCTCCCTATATATTATTCTCGAATACGCTGAGTCTACGTGGCTGTTTCTGGTGCTTCGAAATCCTACTTGGCCAAGAATCATGCTTCGTAATTAGGTTTGGACAAATAATATTGATATATTAATAATTAATAATTTAGGTTCAGACATTCCATAAATATTATTTAGCTAATTTAGGTATTTTAATATCACTTTTACTAATATAACCTTTAATTCTTTGTAATTGTATATAATGAGACACTAAGTGACTAATATATCCCTGATTTTTGATTTTTTTTCCTTCAATTAACTATTGAATTGTAAATGTATTTTAAAAATTGATAACTTTTGTACTTCTTATCGGTTTTACATATATAATATATCAAATTAATCATCTTTTAATGATCTTCGATTTAACATCCATATTGTATATAAGAAATAAATAAATCATATTTATCTTTATAATAATAAAAAATAATAATATTTATTAAAATTAATTAGAAAAATAAAATTATTTCTCAATTGATATATTTATGTTAAATGTAGTTATATGTTGTAAGTCAAAAAATATTATAATATAACACAGGTAAGTCGCACAAAAAAAAAAGTGTCATACTAAATATATAATTATATATATATATATATTTATAAAAGGTATTGAAATTTTAAATTATTTTTTCTCATTAATTTTAGATTTTAAAAAAAAATTAGCAAGCACCCGTGTAATACACGGGCATTGTACTAGTTATAAATATATATGATGAAAATATAATGGAATTCACTATTCACCAATCCCAACAACTTCAAAGTACCATATAAACTATAATGGAATTCACTATTCACCAATCCAACTACTTCAAGGTACCATAAATATGCTGGTAAGCAAAATCCTAAGGGAAAGATATTTTCATAAGGGATCTCTCATTCAAGCCACAACCTCCTACAATGCTTCTTGGATGTTGAGGAACTGCAAGAAGGTCAGAGATAAGCACAAGATGGGATTCAGGGTTAAAATCAAGAATTGGAAAACCTCTAACATTTGAGAGACACCATGGATTCCAGGCTGAATCTGGAATTCCTCTTAGGGAAAGCACCTCTATCTGCAATTTGATAAAGGTTGAAGACATCATGATTGTGGGAGGCAGGAGGCGGAATGAGGAACTGCTGAATGAATGGTTCTCTCCTGAGGACATTTAACAGATATTGAAAATCAGGATTCTCAACCCTGATCTTGAAGATAAATGGTGTCGGGCATTTGATAAAAAAAAAAAAAGATATTCTCATTGTGGCATCTACATATTCTTATATGGTTAAGAAGATGAGAGAGATGGATGTGGCTGAAAATAGTAGAACATGCCAACATGTAAGAAAATCTAGAAGAATTAGCTGGCGAATGCATATCAAGGGAAAATTGAAACACTTCCTCTGGAAGTGCTTTACAGGAGTACTCCCAATCCGTGGAAAGTTAGTTAAGAGATGTGCAAATTGATCCAATCTGTCAATCATGTGGAGAGGAGATTGAGACTATTGAGCATGCAGTACTGACTTGCAGTAGAGCAGCTACAGTTTGGAAGCTGACACCTGTCAACTGGAGGGATTAGAGGCCGAAACTGCAGATTTTAGGAGATGGTGGTGGGAAATTTGTAGCTTGGATAAGAGAGCAATTTCTGAAGAAAGGATACAACTGAGCACTTATATTTTGTGGTGGTTGTGAAAGTCACGGAATTTCTGGAAATTCTAACATATCAGAATGCCTGAGCATGAGGTTGTAAGAGTGGCTTACACAGACTGAATGGAATATGATTCGGTTGCACCAAAAGGGCACATGTAAGCAACTGAGTATGGGTGGTAGGTCTTTTAATTAGGAGTTCATTGGTGCTGCTTAGTTTATAATGTATTCATTGTTGGTCATTATGTAGCTTTAATTGTTAGTCTATTGATTCATATCTGAGAGGTACAATTGGATAATTGCTCTAAGATGTGTTATTTTGTACATTTGCCTATTTAGGCCATCTATTTAGGTGGTTTCTCCTTGTAGTATTGTGGGACTATTTAGTCTCCCAGTTTGTACAAACTCTTTTTTGCATGTTGAATGAAAAATCTATCGTTTTGGAAAAAAAACAAAAACTATACTTATTATATTTTTATTATACATCAATTCACTTAAAAATTATTTCGTTAATTTATGCATAATTCTTAAAGGCTTAAAGGATATTTAATGTGGCTGGATCATGGTATATAAGATTTAATCATCTGAATTTATGAAAGTTTGTAGGTCCTATGTTAACAAGCTCGTAGGGTAGTCTCTACCATGTGTGGTTGACAACTTCGAGGCGTTATGCTTTTTTTTTTTTTTTTTTCAAAACGATAGGTATTTCTTTCCACAGATAAAATATACAGATCGCAGGCTAAAAAGCCAATGTCACCCTAAACAAAATGACTGAGGCCTCCAACCCAAGAAGGCCTAAACTCCCAAAGACTACAACTGAAACCAACAAACACACCAACACTAGCAGTTAAAGGCAGACTTGCTGGGACCTTTAACTTTAACCTTTAACCTTTATGCTTTCGATATGTTCTATATTTCAAAATTCTTATGAGTGGAATCATATAGAGCTTACAGGGTTAGCTTAAAAGTACCTTTTATTCAAATAAACTTAGTCTGATATGACAAATTTTTTTTTTTAGAAAAAAAAAATCGAGCTTATCTCATAAGTTGTTTTGAGTAGCTTTTCAAATAAACTCGTTGAAACTTTTATTTCAAGGTAGATTATCAATTAATTTTATCAAACACTTTTATCATATAAGCTAGCTTTTCAATTATAAACTATAAGCTCGAAAGTCACTTGTAAGTCATAAGTTAGATTATCAACTAATTTTATCAAACATAGCCTTATTTAATTACTAGT